TCTGGGCGAGCGAGAGTTTCCTCTCGGGAAGCTTTCGCTGCGGCGAAGATTGGGATTTGCCGCGGTGAAGTCGGGTTTTCAAGCGAGTAATCCCTCTCGGGATTAGTTCGCCGCGGTGAAAGGTCGCAAATCTATATATTCGCGGGAGGAGTTCAGCGTGCGGAAAATTAGAAAATCTGAGGTAAAGAGAGAGGCTCTGCTAGGGTTTCAAACTTTTGGCTTGGAGGAGGCATTTCTAAGGATCCATTACCTCAAGTAAGTGATTTTAACCTCTAATCTATCTTCTTGATTGGAATTTATAAGGATTTATGGTAAAACCCTAGGATTTTCTAGGTTGTGTTGGAATTGAGGTTTTTGACCGATTGTTTTGGGTTTAATTGATTGCATTGGGTTAGTTTAAGTATTTAATCGGTGTAGTTTTCTTGGATTTAAAGAATCTTGAGTTTTTGGAGTTAGGGTTTATGGAATTGGATGATTTGGGATTGAGGATGATAATGTAGAGATTGATTTTGAGTTTTGTGAATTGGGTTATGTTAAGGAGGGTTAAATTGGATGTTTAATCAGTTTAGATTTATTGTTGGAACCTTAATTGCTCAAATGAGATGTTGGAGGTTGAATTCCTATAGTGGGTCCTTGAGGTTTGAACTCTAATTGATGCTTGGAAGGAGACTTGATGTTTTAATAGACTTTGAGGACTTTGGAGTGTTGTTTTGATAGTTATACCCTTTGAGTTGGGTAGAGTTTTGATGGGAGATAGGAATTTTGTGTCCCCAAGTGTTGTTTTGGCCACATTATTAGTTTGAAAGCTAATATATGATGGTTGTGTGTTTGTGTGCTTGTGTAGACCGGTTGTGAGTCTTGGTGGTGCACGGGGCCACATCGTTGGTTTGTTATTCCTTGCTCAGGCGAGAGGTAACCACTTTCCAATCCTTAGTACTTGCTTCTGTGGTATTGTGAGTAGATTTATGTTTTGTGCTTTAAGTAGTAATTATGTTCAAACTGTATGTTGTGTATAAAAAGGAAAACCGTCTTGTGGGACTTCGACTAGTGATGAATGAATTTTTGGAATTGTGAAAGATATGCCACTGAATGAGGTTAATTGTGAAATGATTATTACTCTTTGATTATGATTTGAGCATGATGCATTAATTGGGAATGGGTGAGAGTTTTGTCTGTTACTACCACGTGGTAAGGCCTCCATTAATGCATGATGGTTGGCTTAGTACGTCCCTCATAGTGAGGGATAGGCCTTTTGGCTCCCTACGTCCCCCAGAGTGAGGGATAGGCCTTTTATGGCTCCTTACGTCCCCCATAGTGAGGGATAGGCCGGCTTCGGCTCCTGAAAATCCCCCAAAGTGAGGGATTTGGTTGATGGGATTGCATCATTGCACTTACATGAATTGTTGTGGCTATCGTTTTATATTATTTGTGAACTGCCCCACTTGACACCTCACGAGCACCTATTTAGTAGTACCTAGTATTGGAAAGGTTGGTTACTGGGACTTAGTCTCACCCCGTGGTTTACAATGTTTTCAGGTGAAGGTTCCGGGCGTGGGCTATCGGGAAGAGACGCAGAGGCTTTAGCTCGGTTAGCTTTAGGCCTCTAGCATTTGTATATGTATGACTAGTATATATTGCCACATTTAGGACTGCTTTTTGATATATTTGATTACCCTGCCTTGTTGTAAACTGGAGAGAATGTATCTCCTTATTTTGGTTGGCCGGAGGCCATTGCTAGTGTTTGATGAACTCTGGATTATATGATTGAAAACTATTTAGATGGGCTGATTTTGATGTATGTGTTACCCGGGCCGGAGGTTCGGAGGCCTAGTGGATATGAATGGATTATTTTAGTTGCATGCAACGTCTTACGGGTTGACCCGAGCTTGAAAGTCAATTTCTAAAAATATGAAATTTTCCTTCTACTATGGTAGCTCGTTTTAACAGCTCTCCTTTTCTACCATAGTAGTGGGCTTTATGACGAGTTATGATGTTTTTAAGGTTAAGGGTTTTTACAATTTGCCACATAATTTTTAATAAACTTACATGGCACTCACTCCGTTAGATTTAACGGCTATTTTAACGATATGAGACTTATAGTTGAAATTTGAAAGTTGAGGGTGTGTAATTTAAACTTTTAAAGTTGAAGAGGTCTTATGTAACTAGCCTAAAGTTGACGGGAGTTATATGTATTTTGGCCTCTTTTTTGAAAACATTTAAACTTCATTAGCATGTGAAAAAAAAGACTAAAAGAATAGAAACATGCAATGTAGTAAGCCCTTCCTATTGACTTTTTAAAGCTTGTATTGCTGGTGCTTTAGTTAACATTTCCTTGTTAACAATAACATACTACTATTATCTGTAATCACCACAATTAAAATGATTTATTGATTTGATCAATTATTCCCCCAAAAATCCAAACAAAGAAGGCTTTAGGCCAAACCTCACTATTAAACCGTTAGTTGTTATTAAATAAAAATTAAAGTAGTGTACAGCAATAAAGGCAGAGTTGTGGGGTGTCCTCATAGGGTTGCAGCTGACAACTAAACTTGGTATACAATATTTGATTGTTGAATGTGATTCTGCTGCTGTTGTAAAAATTTTAGAAAACATTATAGTTAGCTCTGATATAGATTCTGCTTTGTTAAAGCTTGTGAAAGCTGAATTGATTAAGCTAGCACAAGTTAAGATCCAGCATGTATATAGAGAAGCAAACTATAGTGCTGACTGTCTAGCTAAGTTTAGTTTTAGTATTGACGGGGTGCTGAAGGTTTTTGACAAGCCTCCCCAACAGGTATCAGGTTGCTTGTACAATGACTTTGTGGGTGTTGCCTTTCCACGTTCAATTTTGATGCAATAAGATAGGCTAAATGCCTCGTACTATTCACCAAAAAAAAAAATTCAAGTAGTTGGCGAAAAAATTAAAATAATAAAATGCACTAAAATTTTTAAATAAGGTACAGATACAAATTAATTGCTCTATCTATCATGGATTATATTCATGATACATTGTATCTCCATTATTGACTCTAAATTGGGTTCCAAAAGTTAGCCCAAAACACATTCATGGCTTGTTAATATAGGGCTTCCTATTTCCTAACTTAGTAATGTGGCCTCTTTTATGTTTTAACATAAATGGTTAATATTGATTATTATAAATAAAAGAAGCGTAGCCATCAAATTCAAACTATCAGAAATAAATAAAATATTTATTGATGAGAGAAAAATGTCAAACTTTGCAAGCACGTTTTCTTGTTGGACTCTATCACAAAAACAGGGCCACCGCTTTTATTCTCAATAATATTTCCCACTTTTTCTATGAAAAGGAATATTCCCATGTGATCTATATTATTGAATACATAATTGACTTGTCACAATAAAAATTACCAAAATTTCCATTTATGAGGGAAAAATTGAATTGTTGCTTCATTCAGGATAATCTTAACAGTTTCTCTTCTTTTTTCTATATATGCATAATATTTATCACCCTAACTTGTCAATTATTTTATTCTCCTATGTGTTTTGGCGTTAATAATTAATGTCTTTTCATACTCATATAAATAATGGAAACTTAAGCAAGAGACATGAAAAATTTGTATTTTTTCATGCACTTGAATAAGGTGTCAATAATGTTTACAACTAGTGAGTTTTTTTTTTATATATATACTTAAATTTACCTCCAGATGCAATCTATGGTTTAGGTTTTTGGTTGACACAATAAAATAATACAATACAGTGCGATTACAACACATTACAACAAATAAGATAATTCTTATTATATAATTTTGACTGTAATTTGGAATCAAGTTTGCTTAAATCAACCTATGGATATCTGTATTGTCCTTGAATCAACATTTAGATATTTTTATCTTCCATTTTTGACATGATGGATTTAAAAAGATGATTTTGCATTTGTTTTTTATTTTTTAGATAAAATATAAGTTTTATTTCATGATTCTTGGCATACCAAAAAAATATTATGTAATTATTATTTTATTACTCCATACTATATTCGATCCTTATTATAAGACCTCGAGGTCTTATAATTAGGACAAGAGGTACAGTACCATTACATTTTCATTGTCTATTGTTCTTTGAACCAAAAGGGCATTAATAGTTTAAGCTTACAAATTAAAATGTAATGGAAATTATGAATTTTTTTTCCATATACCTCAAGTTCTATATAGTTTTTCTTTTTTGGGTGTATCTAAATATTCGAAAAATTAAGCCCACCTTATTCACAAACACGAGGTTGTTAGAAACAAATTATTTAATCTTAAAAACATATCAAGACAGAAATTGTTGATCCAAATCCTTTTATTTGTGTAAAAAGCATTACCAATCCAAAGCTTATAATTGTAATTTTTTTAATAATTTAATTTTTTTTATTTCAATCAATCATAATAATTTTAAAATACTTTTAATCGAAAATATGAATCAAATTTTCTTGGGAGAAGAAAACTCTTGTTGCCACGCATAACTTTCATAAATTAAACATTTTTTCTTGCACGTTATATTAAGCGTGAGAAATAAGGCTTGAGAGACTTAGATTTTACATTTGAAAAATGATGATTTATTGACCGTAAATGATTGCACCAATCTTCTTCAGAGAGCAACAGATTTTGCTCTCACAGTGTTGTTGATATTCCGCAATCAAAGCGCACAGCGCAAGTTCAGACGGGGGAGTTTCACACGCACTAGTCGCAATCACAGTGTTTGTTTATCCTAAAGTAGGTGTGAAAGTGTGAATTCTAGTGCTTTTGTGAGACAGGGACGATGCAATTACATACTCGAATCAAAATATCATCAGGTACAAAGCAGAATAATAGTAGTAGTAGAAATAGAATTGGAATCGAGTTTTCATTGTTTTGTGAAGATTGTAGTGAAATTCGTCGACCAATGGGCGGGAATAACGCGCATTCTCTTTGAAAAAACTGGAATAAATTTACCGGCAAATCAAATCTTGACGATACGAGAGTGAGGGGGAGAGAGAGATAAAACTAGCTGCGGACTTTTTTCTGCCCACCCTCTCTTCCCCTTCAAGACAATCACATGGTCCTACCCCTTCTTCTCACTCTGTCCCTATTCTGAATTTATTTTTCGTCCTTGGGAACAAATCTGTTGGATAATATTTCTGCAATCGTCCTCCCGAGATGTTTCTTCAATCCTTACAATTCTCCTGACATTCCTCTTAGATCTCCGGAACCTGTCTCTTCTCCGCATTCTATTATGTGTCTTGTTCATCCTTTCACCGAGTCACCGGGATGAGGTATTTGAATTTTTAAAGAATAAAATAACTCGAATGCTTTTCGCGCTGATTACTCTCTGGGATTTCCAGATATTTTATGATGAGTACTGGAAGTTTCTTTCTTATGTTTCCTTTTGCTCTGGGTTGCATGTCATATTTGGAGCCGTTCTCTGGATTCAGGTTTCATTGATATTTCGACATTGCCATTTGTTCCCAATTCTATCAAATGGCGTGAAATTGGGGCGAGTCGGTAGGTGTATGTCATATAAGTTGTTGGAATTTTGAGTCTCAAGTAATACCCTATTAAACATTAGTTTTCAATAGGGTATTGCCATTGCCTATCTTCACTGGATTACGTGTTGCGACCGCTGACATCTTACACTCCCTTTAAAGTATCCCACTTTTGGGCGGTTTTACCGGAAGTTAAAATCGAGTTAGATGGATTGGGAAGTGAATTCTAAGTAAAGCTGATAACTACATTTTATTTTATTTTCAATTTGAATATTCGTCTGGTACTCTGGTTAAACAGTTCAGGCTGGGTGTGTTCTGCATACAGATTTTGACAGCTCTGAGTTTCGTATGCCGATTGAATCCATTCATCAATCAATTTTACCCTGCTCAGGTATCAAGTTCCTTCTTACTTCAAGCCAAGAGATTGAGATTCCGTTAGCCATGAACTTTCTTCATAAAGCATTGGGGATTTGCGTACAAAAATACTAGATATAGTCGCTGTGAAGTAATAGAGAGGTGCTGCTTCGTGTTCGTTGTAGATGGACCGACGAAGTTGGCTATGGCGCAGGAAGTCATCTGAGAAGAGCCCTGGTGAAACTGAGAGTTCAGGGTCAATATCGTCTCATTCAGAAAGATTCTCTGATGATCAGGTAGGGCAGTGGTGTGGCTCTGTTCTGCCCATCTTTCTAGACCGTTTCTCTCTATTTGTACGGCAATTCTGTGAGATGAAGAACTAGTTCCAAATAGCTCTCTGTATCTGCCGTCATGAGTTTTCTCGGCCGTGATCAATTTCTTAAGCATATAAGCTTTTACCATTATAGCGAATCGTTTGGAGTTTGATATCTGTGGTTGTTCAAGTTATTCTGATGTTGGAAGTCATACTCTGATGTTTCTGCTATGTTTTCCAAGGTATATCCAACGCAAGCTACTCCATCACCAGAAGTCACATCTAAAGCTGCACCCATTATTGAAGAAGAAGTCACTGATGTGAAGATTCTTACTGAAAAGTTATGTGCTTCTCTCCGCGATATTAGGGCCAAAGAAGACTTGGTAAAGCAGCATGCGAAGGTTGCTGAAGAAGCTGTCTCAGGTACTATTTTAGGACCTTCTTTCATCTTATTATGTTTATTACCACATACATTTGAGGTTCATCCAAATCATAACTCAAATAAACCCCCAAAATATGATGCTATTAGGAGAATATGAAGAAAACTTGCATGGGAAACAGTCCAACTGATACTGAAAGTCATAATCAACTGCAAACCATTTAGTCATGCACATGCCCTGTACTGAAGACAACTGTTGAGTTAGTTCATGGCAAAGAAAATATGTTCTCAATATCCCTAAAATTTTTCTAATTTAATTGTCAGACTTTTATGCAATGAGAAAGCCATTGATCTTTGGCAATTGCTACTGTCATTGCTTGATTGTTGGTTACATTTTTTGCAAGTGTGTGCCGACATTTTTGTGGTTTTGATGGATGAAAATTTCAAGTAAAAGCTAAAATTGTCTTTTCCTGTTCCATGGGTCAAATTCATATTTGGAGAATCCGGTAATACTGGATTTTTTTTGGGGACGTTCATCCATAATTGTTTGACTTATCACCACTTTAGTTTTCTCTCTTTTTTTTCCTCAAAGGTTGAAAGCTTAAATTTGCAATTGAGAAAAGCTCCTGATGTTGGACTTTGGGTGTGTTTAGGGTGGGAGAAGGCTGAAAATGAAGTGTTGTCTTTGAAACAACAACTTAATGCTGCAAATCAGAAGAACTCAGCTCTTGAAGATCGGGTCAGTCATCTTGATGGGGCACTTAAGGAGTGTATGAGGCAACTTAGACAAGCTAGAGAAGAACAAGAGCAAAGGATAAATGAAGCTATTGCAAATAGTTCTCGCGACTGGGAATACAAAATATCTGAGCTTGAGGTTCAACTTCAAACAGCTAAAGTCGAAGTTTCCGCACCAATTCGTTCTGATCTTCACCTTAGACTTGAGGCTGTGGAGAAAGAAAATTCAGGACTTAAACTTGAGCTACAATCTAGACTTGAGGAGCTAGAATTCAGGATCGTTGAGAGAGATTTGAGTGCAGAAGCTGCTGAAACAGCAAGTAAGCAACAGCTGGAGTGCAAAAGGAAGGTGGCCAAGCTTGAAGCTGAGTGCCATAGACTAAAAGGCATAATTCGTAAAACATTCTCTGGTAACGATCACAAGTCTTTGACTGCCTCTTCAGTTTATGTAGAGTCCTTTGCAGACAGCCTGTCAGATAATGGAGAGAGGCTACAGGCTATTGAAAGTGATGTGCGCAAATCCGGGGGTTGGGAGATGAATGAATGTGAACCAAGCCGTTCTGATTCATGGGCATCTGCTTTGATCACAGAACTCAATCAGTTTAAGAACGAAAAGACCATTGGAAAAAATCTTATGGCCCCTTCAGTTGAGATCACTCTCATGGATGATTTCCTTGAGATGGAAAGACTTGCCGCATTGCCACATACAGAAAGTAGAAGCATTTCTGCTGAGGCAGGACTGTCATCAGATCACCCTAGTGGAGACCAAAATGCAATGAGAGATGAATTGCAATCCGTAATTCAAAAGAATGCTGAATTGGAGGAAAAGCTAGAAAAGATGGAAGCAGATAGACTTGAGAAAGAGATGGCCTTGGCTGAGTGCCAAAAGCAGCTTGAGGCATCACAGAGTCGCATAAAGGAAGCAGAGTTGAAGGTAGCAGAGCTTCAAACTAAGTTAGCTCTTGCAAATAAAACAAATCAAGAAGCTTATGAAGAACTAAAGTCAACCAAAACAAAGAATAAGGAAACTGAATCAAAATTAAGGGTTGTTCAAAGCGAGGTAGAGGATTTGGTTTCCAAAATTGGTTCATTAGAGAAGCGGATCGAGAAGGAGCGAGCTTTCTCTGCTGAGAGTGTTGCCAAGAGTGGGAGGTTGGAAGATGAACTTTCGAGGATGAAGCATGAATCTCAACTCCGGCAAGAAGCTGAGAAAATACACAGAGAAGATGTTAACGTTGAGTTGAGGTTGAAGCAGGTCAGTTTGCTAAAACATATTAGGAACACTGGAAACCTGCTCTTAATTTTCCATTCTGCTTACTTGCCTTGACAAGAGCTAATTTTTTTTCCCCAGAGACTGTTTAGACTAGTCATAAATCACATTAGCAGGCATTGAAGCTAAAATCTAGAGGAACCATATGTGAAGCTTTGTTGGAATTGCATGAAGTTTATGTCTTGCGTCACACATTTAATTGTCTTCACATCTTAACTGCAGGAGAAGGAACTTGCTTTGGCTGCTAATAGATTTGCTGAGTGCCAAAAGACCATTGCATCCCTTGGTAATCAGTTGAAGTCCCTTGCAACACTGGAAGATTTCCTGCTTGATTCAGAGAACCCTATGGACCTAACTCGTGAAGTTACACCTAGTCCCAAAAATGGTGCTGATCCCATGAAAATGCATCATCAGTTCGATTTTCCTAAAAGAAATTCTGAGTCATCGATATTATTAAGATCATCTGGTACCCTTGAGAAAGGCCGTAATGGTTTTGGTAAGTTCACCCCCAGAAGTAAGAGTGTAAGCAGAACAGGAACTCACTGAAAAGTTATAACTAAATGTGTTCATATTTGTTTCTTTATAGTCTCTTGGGTTCAGCATTTCTGAATCCAAAGCTACATATTTTACTTCAAGAGCACTGGTTGCTCAAAGCATACATACAGTTATGTGTAAATTCCAATATTTGTAAAGCCAAAGTGGTTTTGTTGACTTGTTACCTTACAGCTGTCTTTGCTTTGCTTCTTTAATTCATGAGTCAATTCAACAATGAGACAACCATCCCATATATCAGATGGAAATTTTTAGGCCTAATCTAGTGCTGGGGTCGTTTAGACAAGTTGATTTTTGTTTTATGTTGATTGTTTTTTCTGATGGAGTCTAGAAGAAGTTACAATGTCTGTCATCTCTATGATTGTCCGTATGTGACCAATTCAAACTTGAAAGACGTGAATAGATTCTGTCTCTCTCCTTTTGCCTTGCAAGAAAAGATAGGTGGGGTCTAGTTGATTGGGTCTGTACCTTCTGTTTATCTTTTCCGAACAGCAGATCAGGAGAAGTACTGGAGAAGATTCGATTGGGATGTGACAATATGTAGTAACTTGGATGTGAAATTACGATAGGAACCCCATCCAGGGAACAGCTTAGGGAATCAAGGTGTTGAAAACCGGACCGGTAATTGAACCAGTCAAGACAATGGGTCAAAAGTCAGTGGATCAGACTGGAGTCAAACCGGGGGTTAAACCGGTGAGAAATAAAAATAAAAACAATTTAAATGGTCACTAAGAATTAGATATCAATTTAATATCTTGAATTACTAGTAAAATAATTACATTCTTACAATTTCTTATAATATCATACTACTAAAATCACTAAATATTCATCCCAACAAAATATCAAAATGGATATATGATAATAAAATATTTCTCCTTATAATTACTCAATCACTAAGTCCTAATTATCAACAGTTTTTTTAAAAAAATCATCAAAATATTTTTTTTTTAAAAAAGGGGAGTCCGGGTTGATCCACCAAACAGGGTGGGTCACCCCGGTTCAGTCCGGGTCACTCCGGTTCAAGCTGGGTCACACCGAGTCACACAGTAACCCGGTTCACAGCTTAACCGGACCGGTTTCCTGACCGGTTCACTGGTTTCCGGTCTGAACCGGCCGGTCCGGTCCGGTTTTCAATACAATGTAGGGAATAGAGGAAAAAAATGACGTTTAGAAAAAGCTTGTATAAATGATAGATAAATGGGGAAAATGAATTCAAAGTTCTAGCATTTATTTCTTGTAATGAAAAAAATATTATTTCCTGAAGATTAAACTGGATTTTTTTTTATTTTGGTAAAAAAAATTGAAATTTTTAGAATATTTGATATTTTTTCATGGAAATCTTGGTAAAGTACCTACGCAAACGTTGAGTTATTATTAAAATACATTATAAATTTCTTGGCTTTGTTAGAATCACATTGATTTTTTATTTCTAAATTTATATAATTTTTAAGATAAATAATTATACTAATACATCAAATTTTGTTACATTCTCCATTGTATTTTTAAAATCCTATGCTAAAAGCCAAGAATAAATTACAGAAAACTTTTTTGAATTTTGTTGAAATGACAAATATATAGTTATTTGCCGAAAAGCACTCACTAAATTTGAAGAAAATTTTCTCGAAATTGCCATTAAATTGGCGGTGCCATATAATAATGAATGCTAAGTGATAAAGAGGTCAGAAAAAGGGTTGAAAAAGAGAGAGAAAGAAATGGCAACACGCATGATTGATAATTACATATGAGAAAAGTTGGCGCAGTATGTATTAAATATAAAATAATTAAACATAAATTAAGGTGGTTTGAATATGTTTAAGAAAAAGGTAATAAAGGCACAAATTAAAAAAAAAAAAGTTGAATAGATGTTTAACCTTATAAAAGTATATGGAGAAAGATAAGGGGAAAAAACTAGAGTTGGTTGTTGACAGCAAATTTCGTTTAACGATATAATGCAACAATATTAAGAGTATATATTGAATATTTAAAGAATCTTTGTAATATTAAAAACTCAGTTTTTGTTATTCTGAGTTTTAAACATAGTTGGAAATTCTATATAATTATGACAAATTTTGAGAAAATCTTGTATTAATTTTAAAATAAAAATATAATTTCACAAAGATTTTAAAAATTGTACAATCTGCTCTTTTTTATATTATTAAAAATGGAAAATTTGAAATCCCTGTATTAATATTTTTTCTTAGCATTAACCTATTGTCTCTATTTCTTTCAGAAAAAAATTGAACTCATCATATGGTCATAAATACTAAATAGATTCAAACTTAATTATATTATTTTTTTTTTCACTCACATAATATTCAGGAAGTGTTGACCCACAATCTCACGCTTAAGAGACACTTGAGAGGGAGGTACTTAATGCTCTTGGATCACAAAGACACTGACAAAGTAAAACTTAATTAACTCTCAAATCACGAAGATAATTACTATATCTCTCTTATGTTAGGATAGGGCTTTGAAATTTGAGAACGAAGTAATGATTTCCATTGCCCCCCTTTTTTTTATCTCTTTCAATTCAAAACTGCATGTTCCTCAGCTGATTTGATAAATAAGCCCAGAAGACTTCTAAAAAGCCAATCCTTCTAAACAGAATGTTCCCTCATGAAAAGAAATAAAGAAGCAAAGAAGAATCCCAGGAGAAACAAGGCTGTGACTGTGTCAGCTTGAAAGAACATGCTTTGTTTTGCTTTCTTCTTCTGATATGCCTCAGTCTAATCAATCTTTGCTTAGCAGATTATAGAAAACCCCTGGCTTTCTATGCTCTGACTCACAGATGGCCTGGAATCACAACAGTACCATGTGTCAGCACTTAAAAGGATGAAAAATACTATTTTATTACCCCATCAATAAGCTTATTTTCACTTTCATTCTTTACAAGTACATATCTTTTCAATTTAGTTCCTCTAATTAAAATAACTTCAATGATGTTAACTTCATCAGACAACGTGTGGTGTAAGTTAGCAGTGTTAAGTATGCTATGAATGTCTAAGTTAGTAGTTTATTAGGTTTGACATCAATTGTTGAAAAGCATTTTAATAATCAGAAGTGTACCTGTCTTGAAGTTAAAACTGGAGCAATTATTGTTAATGCAAAACTAAGTATAGGAGGAATTCATTTCACCTGCATTGCAAATGCCAAGTGAATAATTGTTGCTTCAGACCAAGGCCTTCCAATAAACTGAAGGCCAATTGGCAAACCCAGTTTATCATAACCAACCTGTGAAGGACAATGTAGATTTCTTATAAAACAACTCTTGCAAAGAAAAGTGAAAAGTCAAGGAGAATGTGGTAATTTTCTTACTGAAACAGTCACTGCAGGAAGTCCCAGAAAGTTTCCTGCTATGGAATATCTAACCAGTGCAGCTAAAATGGCAGGAAGCAGATCAGATTTTGTTAAGCATTTATAAAATTAACGTTAACAAGTTTTGAAGTTTTATGTGTGTGTCTATATATATGTACCTCCATTTACGTAGTCAAGCTCACCAGTCTTGAGGGCATCGTCTTGAATGGAGTATGCAGTCACACTGTTTCAACACATCGCATGAGAGCAGCTTTGTACTAATCAAATGAAAGACATCATGTTCAATTTTGAGAAATTAGTACGAGAATAGAGAGAGTGGGACAAACCCTGTGGTTGGTGAGACTATAACATCTGCCTCAGCAAATATCTTCTTGTGAAACTGTAACTGGCGATTCCTACACAGATTAGAACAAATATGTTAAACTTAACTTTCAACTGAGACTATATATATGCTTGTCCTTGATTGACTGGTTTATTTATCATTGTTGATAATATGTTGACTTTAGTTTCAAACATGGTCAGGTGACAGAAAGTACCTAATTTTCTGAGCTTTTACATACTCCTTGCTGCTGAAAGCACCATAGATGTTGAGAGCCACTCTTGCATCCCATCCTTGTTCTGCCACATACTTTTCTCGTATTGAATCAAGCGATGTGTTACACTCGGATCCGATTGTTAAATAATGTGCCAGCCTCATCACTTCTATCTCTGGTATGGTCACTTCTACAGTCTTACATGTTCCAACCAAAATTTAAGTTGGCAGGTTACCTTGTTAATGTCATGCAAGTAGTATTGATCAAGTCAATCATAAATAGATGTGCAAACTCATGCTTTTCAGTGAGACTCACCTTGATGTGTTTGTACATTTATTTATGAATTATGATTAGTTTAAAAATGTGTTTCTTCTTCTTATTGTTATCTTTATTACTAGTGGTCAGTACCTTCCAACCATAATGTTCTTGAAGTTTGTTCAAAGCTTGAGAGCAGCATAATCTTACTTCATCACTGCAATCATCAAACCACTAATTGATAAAATTAGTGGTTAGCCAACAAATGATATATCAGAAGTCAGAACCAAGAACAAGCTACTTCTTTAATATGTGTGTGTGTGTGTCTTTTATATATATATATATGAATTATTAATTTAATGGAGCAGGTTACCAACCTTCCCGTATTTCGCCAATTTGATGTTAGATATGGACTTTGTCAAGCCCAGCATTGGAAGATGTACCTAAGGTCAGTTAAAGAAAAGAAGTTAAGACAAAACCTACTATATTTTTTTTCAGGTTTTGGGCTTAGCGTTATATAAGGCCCAATAGTGGAACCTTGAACAAGTTCTTACTGGGATATTAGAAGGCTGATGAGAGGGAGTTTCACCACTGAGAGCAGCATAGCTGTTAAAAGCAAAACAGTAAAAGTTGTGAAAAAGTAATTTGGGAGTTGCTTGAAGAAAGAATGTAAAATAGAAAAAGAGTAATACTAACACTATCAGTGCATCCTCAACAGTGCCCGCTAGTATTCCAACCATTCCCACTGTCCAGTTCAGAGGAAGAACTCTGAATGTAACATGAGAACACTCTTCTCAAATCATTATAATCTTTTGCCCAATAATCATGGAACAACAAACAAAGTGGGATTACTCACCCAGAATGAGGCACACGACCAAAAGTTGGTTTTAGACCAACCACTCCGCAAAGAGCTGCAGGCATTCGCACCGATCCTGACCAAGTTTTATGAGCAAATTAGTCATTCACTTTCTTCTATGAGATAAAAACTGCTAGACAGACCAAGCCACAATAAATATACATATAAACAGTTAGATACATACATTTTACATGCTTATTTATGATTGAGTCCGTCCAAGAATAGTGTAAGTTAGCACACTAGAATGTGACCAAGAAATATACAACTAGAAGATTGATATCACTATGCTGATTTTGCTGTTCTTTATATATAAACAGAAGGGCCAAAACCGTTTTTTAGTTCATATAAGATGGTGCCATTGTCCATTGAACCTGTAGGGCTGTAGGGATACTTTGTGTACCTTGAAACTGAAGAAAAAAAAATCTTGTCCTTGAGATACCAATATAATATTAAAAAGAATCAAAACAGAGTT